GTTGAGTGAGCTCTGACCACCAAGGGACACGGATGGTCAGAGTACTCGTATGCAAGTGAAATAGCCTCGACTATCCACTTACTAACCGTCTGTTTAGAAGCAGGAAGACCCTTCTTAGGTGATCCAAAGCAAATAAATAACTGGTCGGACTTCCTCATTGAAGATGTCCGATGAACATAAGTATCCAGTGCTCGCACTGGACACAAGAGGTTCAGCCTTTCCTGGTCCGCAGATGTAAAAGGAGGACAGAAACCTGCAGCACAATAGGCCTCGGAATAATGGTAGGCACCTTTGGAACATATCCATGTTTCGGGTAAGAATGCCTTGGCCATCCCCGGTGCACTCAAGGCAGGTGGGGACCGAAAGGGCCTGAAGGTCTGACTCTAATAGGGACGAAATAGCTAGCAGAAAATAGTCTTAAAAGAAAGGAACTTCTCTGAGACCAAATCTAAGGGCTCGAAGGGAGCCCCAGATAGGCCTTCTAGAACTATTGCAAGGTCCCAAGCCAGCACCCTAGTGCAAGTTGCAGGCCTCAGCCTCAAAGTGCCACGAAGGAAACGAGTGGTCAGGGGGTCTCGACCCAAAAATTTACTACCCACCAGGGCATGGAAAACCGCAATGGCCGCCACGTATACCTTAAGCGTGGAAGGACATAGACCTGATACAAAGCGTTCTTGCAGAAACTCGAATACTGTGTTTACTGAACAGTTAACCGGATCCCACTGACGCTGGTAACACCAAGAAGTGAAAAACTCTCGAAATAGTGAATATAGTTTCCTCGTAGCGGGAGCTCTGGAGCTTAGAATGGTCTCAACAACCTCGGTTGAGAGACCACTCTCTATGAGTTGGGCCCCCTCAGAGGCCAAAACCCACAGTTTCCAAATCCCCTGCCGGGGGTGCAATATTGCATCCCCTGCCTGAGACGGAAGGTCTCTCCTAAACGGGACCTCCAAGGGAGGTCCGTCGAGGAGAAAAATTCAGCTCGGCCAGGGTGGTGCTACTAAATAGGCTTATTCCATCCTGGCGGAATCACTCCAGAACTCCTGGGAGCAGAGCAACAGGGGGAAATGCGTACAGACGTAGCCTCAGCCACGTCTGCACCATAGCAACCAGCCCCGAGGGGACTGGTTGAGTGAGGGATAACCAGAGTGGACAGTGCGTCGTATGCTGAGATGAGAACAAATCCACTTCTGCCTGGCCATAAAACTCCCATATTTGCTCCACCGCCTCGGGGTGGAGTCCCCTGGCCTCAGCCCCTGCCTCGACAGGGTGTCTGCTCCAATATTCTGGCCCCCCTGGAATATACACTGCCCTCAGACAGCGTAATTTCCTGAGGGACCAAAATAATAGGCCACCAACGTGTTGTCTGTGGGTCAAGAACCAGAGTTTCCTCCATATAACCAAGGCGTGGGGATACTGCCGCGTGATCTTGATCGTACGGAGTGGGTTTCCCCTCAGGGAGAACCCTCTGGTCCTGAGCCACCACTGTAAAGGTCTCACGTACAGCAGGTCAAAGGGTATCACATTACCCTTGTGAGAGGGTAGTACCCCCCGGAGAGTTTGGGTTGCGGAGAGTTGTGAGATTATGGTTTTCTAACACCTACTCCCGTGTAATGGAAATCATTATGAACATCAGCTATGCTAATTATTTCCCATCTGCCTTTCTGCTGTTATCTCGGGACGCTTGTCCCGAGAAAAATGGCGTTCGTAGGCTCCAGTTTGGTATCCTGCCTCTCACGGGGATTTCGGATGCCTCAACGCCTGTGATGAGAAGACCAACGCCTGTGAAGAGACGACTCAACGCCTGCGAAGAGACGACTCAACGCCGGCGATATGTTATCCCCTAAATATTACATGATTAACTAAATGTATTTTTTCCAGGTACTCTCTGATATGCACTTACTGTAAAGCTTCTTTAAAACCCTATGATTGTTAGCCAGAGGAGAACTGCCCCCTGACTAGCCTGGGTTCTCCCAAGGTTTTTTTCTCCATCCAATCTGATGGAGTTTTGGTTCCTTGCCACTGTCGCCTTGCTTTTGGCTTGCTTAGTTGGGGATATTTAATATTCAACAATATTATTGAACTGTGTTGTACTACTTTCATGTTATCACTGTGAAGCTGCTTTGATGCAATCTGTATTGTGAAAAGCGCTATATAAATAAATGTGACTTGACTTGACTTGACATTGAACGCTGCTGCCCTGAGGCCTAACAGTCACTGTTTCAGAACAACACATGATGGCCCCTCAGGTCTGGGAGGAGATGTCTCAACGCATTGAAGACGACCATCATCTCTAGGCAATTCATGTGCCAAGCGAGATGATGACTCCTCCCAAGCCCTGAGCTGAGCGGCCTTCCAATACCGCTCCCCAGCCGGTGAGGGAAGCATCTGTCGAGATAGCAACTCGATGGCAAAGAGCTCCCAACACCGACCCTGGGTTAAGAACCAGTGTTTCCTCCATATAACCAAGGCACGAAGGCAGGGCCGCGTGATCTTGATCATACGAAGTGGGTTTCCCCTCGGGGAGAACCCTCTGGTCCTGCGCCACCACTGCAAAGGTCTCATGTACAGCAGGCCAAAAGGTATCCCGTTGGACGCTACTGCCACAAGACCCAACAGTCTCTCGAACTGTTTTACAGTGCGTGACTGGCCTAGCCTCAGCTCTTTTGTGGCTGTTAGGATAGCAGCTACACGAACGGGCGACAGAGTGGCCCGCATCGTCACTGAATCCCATACCACACCAAGGAAAGTGGTTCTCTGTACTGGAGAAAGCACACTCTTCTTGGCATTGAGCCTCAACCCCAACATCTGCATATGAGCGAGAACGACACCTCGGTGCCGAACCGCTCACTGTTCTGATTCCGCTAGAATCAGCCAGTCATCTATGCAATTCAGAATGCGTATACACTGCAGCCTGGCGGGGCCAGAGCTGCGTCTATACACTTCGTGAATGTGCGGGGTGATAGATCTAGACCGAAAGGATGTGCCTGATACTGGTGTTCTTTGCCCCAAAAGAAAACCTCAGGAACCTCCTGTGCTGAGGGAGGATGGAGATATGGAAGTATACGTCTTTTAGATCTATCGTGACAAACCAGTCCTCGGATCTGATTTGAGTCACGATCTGTTTGAGTGTCAGCATCTTGGACTTGAGTTCCAGCACCAAACACTCCAACAGACGAAGATCTAGTATGTGACGCTGCTCTCCATCCTTTTTTGGAACAATGAGATAACGACTGTAAAGACCCGACGCAATGTCGGGTGAGTACACCTGCTCTATAGCTTTCTTTGCTAACAGGGCCTTTACCCCTTGCTCCATTACCAGAGAGATTACCATTACCCATAGAGATATATTTGGCAGTAGCTTCCTCGCTGCCAGAAAATCTACCAAGGGAACCAGCCCCTCGAGGCTGGCCTCTGGTGTAATAAAGACAGCCAGTTCGGGGACCTGAAACATACTGGCAGGAACCACCTGAACTGACTGTTTTCGAACCCCCCTCAGAGGGCGCGAGTCCGACGCAATGTCGAGTTGACGCTGCGCCAGAAGCTCGCTGGAGAACGCTGCGCCCCGAAGCACCAAGGGTGGCGGGGTTGGCAGAACGGTCCCCTGAGGGCACAGAGATGGAAAGGGCACGTATAATGAGGTGTACACCATTCCACCCCGGTTGGGGCTGCCCTCACCGGTCTGACGCCGTGGCGCCAGACCTTTTCTTTTGAGCCGCAGCCTTCTCAGCATGAAGAACGGTCCTCGGATCCGGCTTCTGCTTTGAAGGCTTTGGCTGCTGTGTTGTGTATGAGAAACTAGCCGGCTGGAGCTGCTCACGCCCAGCAGCCCCAGTGGGTTGGACATAGCGAGGGAGAGATTATCTTGTATCTTTCTCCATGATTCCCATCAAATTGAGCCAGAGGTGTCTCTCAGTGACCACATTTCTTTGGCTGCCATTCCTGAGAGATAAATCTGAGGCCCGACGGAGTTCTCAAACCCCATCGGGCCAAACTCCCTCACTTCTGTCCAAATACCACAGCAGGTCAGCCTGATATGCTTGCAGCACTGCTACAGTGTGCAAGCAGGCTCGTGCTAGACCCACTGCCATATATGCTTTTCCCACTAGATTAAAAAATAGTTTTCTTTAATGGTTTAGTGAGAGAAGCCGACGCCTTCAGGGACGATACTGAACCGGGAGACATAGCTCGCAAGTGTATGTTCTACCCGGGGTATTGCCCCATAGCCATACTCTCTTAACCCCCTAAATATCTGAATATACATGAATGTGGGGCTAAAAAATGAGTAAGGCTTTTTCCATGATCTAGACAGCTCGCTGTGCAGATCGGGAAAAATGGAAGGCCCCGTGATGGAGGTGGAAAAATAGAGGGAAGGAAACTCGTTCAATTTATTTTAAGGACGAGTGCCCCCTTATTTCTGCTGGCCATTAAATATTTAACTTATCTACAGCCTTAGTAAACACCTCCACCAGCTTATTATTATATATATATTTTTTTATATACATTCTTTATATGAGGGCTTGAGACGAAGAACCATATAAGTCCATATTTTCAAATTTTGAATAATGACATTTTTTTAATTTGGACTCTGAATATTATATCTATATTTTTTTTTTTTACTTGAAGATAGACAACAAAAGTTTCACAATTCTAATGAGATAAGATTTTTTAGGATCAATCTTAAAAATAAAAAGTTAGAGTAATTTACATTTCTGGAATGTGGAAGAACAGTATAAGTCCAGTTAATGTGGAATAACAGTATAAGTCCAATTCATCATATCACTTAAACCACTGGAGATTTGATTCCTTTATCTTAGTTTTAATACAGTAACAGAACCTTAAAGAAAATATTAAACATTTCTTTCTTTCAATTTCTTTTATTTTTTTACCAACATAAATCACAGAACAAAAACACAGACAATACAGTACGAACAATGAACAATACATAGGCCTACTTATAGTACAGAAAATAAACGTCATTACAAACAATAAACCGTACATACAATCAACAATACATACAAACAATAAACAACAGTAATAACTGTAAACAATACATATTTACAATACAGACATACATCATCATCATTCCTTGCTATGGTTCCATATGCTAGTTTACCATTTTATAATACATTTCATAAATCACCCCATTCATTCATTTACTAAATAAATAACTATATATTCCTATTATACAACATAATATAAGGCATACAAGATAAACTACAACTACTATTATGATTAATTTTACACAATATACCCCACCTTACCCTGCACATGACCTACACATACCAGGCTACTCTTCGCATTCTAATGCCCCATAAAATGCTTGGGCCTCCGGTGGCATGTAGGCTAGCATTTTCATAAGATCCCGGTGCTTCTCCTTCTTGACGGGCAGAGGGTCCTCATAAGCACGAGCATACGTGGTGGAGAACAAGGGAGCTGGAGGTGGTTGATTCTTCCTCTGTTTGGTGATCAGCCAGGTCTTCCATCCCTCGTAGAGGCTGTGGCTCCCTTTTGTGTGGACACACCATGGATCAGCAGCTGAAATCATGATTCAACAAGAAATTCAATAAAGATTCTTCTTTCACGCACATATCCCCAACACTGTTAATCTCAGAAGACCTACTCTTTTGTTTTTTACCTGTCACTTTCAACCACATCATGGATGTGATTAGCAAGCCAGGTGGACGCTTTAATGTTGCATCAGGGAGCTGCCTGAAGTCCGGACATTTCATCTCAATGACTTTGAATGGATGCTGCTGCCTGGCTCCACGGATCATCTCGGCGACATCGCTGGGGGTGTGGAGTGTGGACACCTTACGCCTCTTGTCCAGCGTGGCAAAGGAACGGTCACAGGGAAGGAAGGAGTGACCAGACACCATGAACTTCTGCTCTATCTGACTGAAGTACCCTCTAGATACGAGCAGGGCCATGAGGTTTAGGACTCGCCAGTTGTTGTTCTGCCCACAGCATCGGTCACTATAGATGACGAGCTTCCGTTCCTTTGCCTGGACTAGGGGAGCAAAAGATGTTTCTGCCCACTTCAAAAGACAGCTTGCCACCTCGATGGAACCTCTGTGAGCGATGCCCTCATGCCAGAGGCACATTGTAGGAGGATCGTCAGTGCCCATCTCCTGGATACAGAGGTTGTAGTTGGCCAGCTGCCGTTGATAGTACACGTTGGAGTGTATCAGGTTTGGCTTGAACACTACCCCCTGCATGTCGATACAAATGACATGGCAGTCATCATTGGCTTTGGCCCACTCTGTGTCAGCCTGCAACTGGGTGTACGCTTTTTCAGCTTTCCGGTGGTGAAGCTCACTCTCGGCTGCGATCTTCAACCTTTCTCCTTCTGTTGTAGCAGCTGTTAATTTTAAAAACAGGGCGTCACATTTCGCACAAGTGTCACTTCTTGGCTGCCCAAAACTGAGGTTCTGCTGCTTGAAGATGTCCCTATAGAGCCAGAACTTTGCAGTGGATGTTGGATTGTGTTCCTTGTACAGGCGGAACATGCGGAGCAGGTTTAAATCAGGGCTCAGGTACTCCCTCTCCACATCTCCCTTCATCCGTGAGTAGTGGTTCGGTTGGCGTGGGAAGCTCAAGATATGCTCTCTTATCCCCTCTCTCACTGCAGGATGAATGCTATGAGGCCTAAAAAATAAACACCACAACTCATGAACAAGGGAAATATAATAAACTATGCTGGTCTGTTTTGCACAATTGCATTGTTTCTGTGACCATAAATGTATAATTATAAACATTCCTCTAAACTATAGGATTTTGTTTTTCACATACAGTCATTAAAGGGATACTTCAGGATTTAGCATTAAGCTTTGTATCATTAGAAAACCGAATTCTTTTTAGTATTTTCGAATTACAATGCTTTTCTCCCTCATATCCCCCTGAGATGAGAGATTTATGTATTTTTTGTCTGGAAAAAATCCTCCGATGACGCAAAAATTGTCATTGTTTACATGCACATCTTTTGTTTCAATCTAACTGAATTTATTCCGATTTGTGAATCTGAATGTAGTGTTTACATGGATGCTAAACATGTGATTGATTGATGTGTGCATTTTAGCATTGCAATCTGGGAGTTGTTGTCTTTCATCCCCATAAATCAAAAATACATTTTCTGGCTTTTAGAAGGCTCCATTCAAAAATAATTTCACATTTCTACTACATAAATGACCCATTTTAAATACACATTAATCTTTCCAGAGCTGAAGTATCCCTTTAAGATCCACATGTTGTAATGATACAAAGAATAATCATACATTACATTTGCATAGCACTTTATCTCTGATATCGATTTCAAAGTGCAAAAATATGTTTCCTGACTGGGCAACAACAGTGAGCTGAATCCTAACCATTACGGTATGTGCACACTGGCGTTATAGGGTGGCAAGGCACCCAACGCTCTATAATGCCAGCGTCCAGTGCACCATTAGACCAGGGAATGTTGTAGGTGTGACAATAGTGCAGCTTTAAAAACTAACAGGACGAGAGCATGAGGTCCTTCAAGATTTGTTTTTTTTTTACTTACCTGTTCTTATGTTTTCCTCTGAAGTCCTCTAATGGAGACCTGACTTTAGCTACCTGCTCTGTTCCCTCAGACTGACTGCCTAACTTTTCTTGAATAACCTTTTCAAAGATAAGTAACTTTAAATAAATATGTTATGGACAATGTATCTAATTAAAATCATGCATGTAATAAAAAGTTAACAAACGGAAAAGGCTAGGCTATATAAAACTTGCCTGTAGGCGACTGTTGGTCAGTTGAAAGACTGACATAAATGTGAGTTTACAAACAGCAAGTCTTTGGCCTCCTTGTTGCACATGGTACTTGAAGGTGTACTTCCTCTTAGTAATCTCAGTGTCAGGCCCACGTGGTCGTCTGCGACTCACCTTGTGCTAGAAGTAAAAAGACATGAAGTAAAAATACATTTACCATAGCGTAGCAGGCTAGCCGTATTGTAGAGCTGTCAGGTTAAGGTCATTAAGTACGTGAGTAGGCTTTGGTTAGGAGAATGAATAAGCATTTTAGGGCACCAAAGCGCTGTGGTCTGACTGCAATGCACTTGGTGGCCTACTTGATGCTGATCATCCTTCATCCATCCTCACAAAATTTAACATTTACAGTGATCAGGCACATGTGCAGTCTTAGTGAATTGAAGGCATACAGTAGTATTCAATTCACTGGTTATTTCATGGGCCTACATTGTGATGCATTGCATACCATTGACATGATATGGGCTTAAGTTAGCCTACCTGCTCCAAACCAGAGAGAATGATAGCCTGCTGCCTCTCATAAGAGACAGCATAAAACTCTGTGAAGAGCTGGAGTTTTCTTTGTTCTGTTAGGCTTGAACACTGCCTGGGACACGTCTCCTTGCACACCTTGCCCTTAACAAAAACAAAGTCACATTAGAGTTTTTTTTTGTTATATATAGCTATAGAACACTAGAGCTATTAGCAGCTATTAAGGTTACTACCTATAATATATAACGTAACAGCTTACACAATCAATGCATTTTTTTATTATTACCTTTTATTTATTTTATTTATTAAAAAATGAGTAACAAACAAATATACCATACAATATTACAAAACAAAGTGTTGCATAAATGGTAACATGGGATCCAAAAAGTATATCAAAATATTTTAAACACGTCAATGACTTTTTTTTTTTTACCAATTTCAGTGAAGACATAAAGCAATCAAAGTCTAATTTTCTCAGCTTTCATTTCGACCCATTCATGACTTGATTCGCTAAACAGTCAGAGCTGTATGAACATTAGTAACGTTAGACGCCCAGTAATATGCCCCCTGACTGTAACCAGCTACGTTACAAAGTAACTGGCTAGCCAGACATCAAACGCAGCTATAATGTTTCGATTCATTTATCCTTGGTTATAAGGAGTAGTAGCCTACAGCATTAATTTCGACCCATTCATGAATTGATCCGTTAAACAGAGTGAGCTATATGAATGAACTGTAGTAACGTTAGACGACGCGCAGGAGCCTACACGCCCCTCTGACTGTAACAGTAGCTGCTAAGTTAGATACTTTGTATACGGTTCTTTCACTCACCTCTTTCGGTGGACTTTTTCCTCGTTTTTGCTCTCCTCTCCGGTTCACATATGGTTTCCCAGCATCCCTCAAAGACTTCCTTGCTCTGTCCTTCCATTCATTCATGTTCGCTCTCCTTTTTTTGCCGAGGTTTTGCCGTTTAATGTCCGCAGCGGACATGAAAGCAACCGGCGTCTCCATTTTTCGTTAGTGGACATAAACGGTTTTTCCGCGTGAGACTATTTTAAAATTTAAAATACAGAGTTTTGGTCGCGCGAACACACCCCCAAAGTGATTCTGTATACAAAGTGGCACACATACATTCAAGTCACATGGTTATCTCAATTTTTGTTTTTTTTGGACTTATACGGTTGTTCGTCGCATGAACACATATATATACACTTTATTTTATATATAATATATAAACTATCATATATATATATATATAGGCTATATATAATTCTCATACGCTGGGGAAGAGATGGCAAATCCACTTCCCCCATGATTGTGTACACTTTCAATGCCCAGCACATCTACCTCCTCGGAGGTAGAGCACTGAAGCATTGATTTCTCTCCCCGGGCGGAAGAGACCGCAGCGCGGGCTTCCGAGACCGGAGAGAGAGCACTGGATCCCTCGTGGAAAGGGAGGAGATAAGATCCGCGGACCCGTCTCCAACCCCGTAACGAGATCCTATTCGCGATCCACAGGAATGCATTCTCCGCGCTGCCTCGGCAGACGCGTGTCCTGCACCCCGAGGATCGCGAGCCTGGCCACTTTCCTCGAAAAGTGACAGGCGGGAGTGGAGCATGCGAAGCGAAAGCTTCTCACAATGTTGCAATCAGCCCCCTCGGAGGCTGATACCGCATGCTCCACTCCCAAACAAACTACACAAAGCTCGTGTGTGTCCCCACCCGTTAAATAACGCGGGCAGGGAGAAGACAGAGTTTGTAAAGTTGTTTCGCCATAACTCTTCCCAATAATATCGAACAGACAACAATAAATAGACAGAGACAGAGTAACACAGATCGCTTGCTGAGACACAGAAGCTAATGCCGCGTTTCACCGGATCTGCTCTTATGCCTTCCTGGTCATGACGTCACCCGCCCGTGACGCTCATTCTTTCCATTGGACTAGTTGACATTGATGCTCAGACGCATTCACGCTGGGGGCGTTCCCAAAGCGTCAAGTGACGCATCGCGAGTTCCCTCGAAAGGGAACTATAGCAAGCAGCAAGAGTTTCAGGAAGTGCATGCCTCCGTGTCCTCGTTTCACACTTGAGGACACTCATGGGCTCTCTGTTGTCTGCTTGGGAGCAAAGATTTTAAAGTAAAAATGTTGCCATATTCAAACAAAGATTTAAAAAAGTAGGCGAAATTTCACTTATTAAACAAGTATGTTCAGCTAATTGTCAGCCTCTTACATGTCTGCATCTCGAAGAGAATGCAGAATTCGAGAGACAAAAATTGTGTTTTATAAACAATGTTCAGGAGGAGCACTGTCTAATCATCTCGAGAAAATGCATACAGTACACAGCTGACTCACCTAGCTACCTCAACAGTTTTCTGCACCCCGACTCCACAGTCTCGGCTGGTTCTTATGCCCAAGGCAGTACTCTGGGTTTGAGCTAAATTCTGAGCTCGGAGCCCTCGATCCCCTTGAACAGCGCAGCAAAAAAGCTTATTTTACTCTTTTGCTCTATTCAATCATTTGTAAGTGTGAACTTGTGAAACAACTGCCACAGGAAATCAGACATTATTTTATTTTATTTTTTATTAAATATTTATTTTGGCATTTTTGCCTTTTTATTATGATAGGACAGTGTGTAGACAGGAAGTGAAGTGTACATCGTCTTTGGGTGGATTGCTGAGGTGGATTGGATTTTTTGTGATTTGGTCTCAGTGATTTAGGAGTTCTTTTGACTACTCCTAACTTTTCAAGGATTTAGAAGCTGGCTTTAGTGCTAAAATGCTTTGTGAAATACTCTTAGAGCAAAACATTTAGGAGCCCATTATTTTTTCTCCTAAATCGGCAAATTAGGAGCTTGTGTTTTATGAATACGGACCCAGACAACTTTGAACAAGCGTTCTGTTAATGTTACTGGATGTGTCACGGTGTGGGTTCATGTCTTGTTCCTGTCTGTCTTGTGTTCCCCCCATTATTGTGTATTTGGTTTAGTCCTGTCTAGTTTTCCCGCTCCTCGTTTGTGTTCATGTTTTCCACCTGTGTTCCTAGTTAATTTGCCCAGCTGTGTCTTGTTTCACTCACCCGTTCCTCTGTATTTAAGCCCTGTGTTTTAGTTCAGTCCTTGTGAGTTCTTAATGTTGTAATGGTTGCTGTGTCCGTTTTTCCAGTCTGAGTTTCTTTTGTTTGTTTAATAAATGTGCTTGCAATTGGATTCACTCTAGGTTCATTCTTTCCGCAACGTTACAGAAGAACTCACCCTCATTGAATCCAGCAGCATGTTCGCCAGTGTCTCTTCTCCAGCCACCGAGC